CTGAAAGAGTGACCGCTGGTCTATTATTTCAGTTAGTTTCAGTTTTGTAAACAAATGATACAGTTTTAGTTAGTTATCGTTTTTTCATTTTATTACAGTTTTTATTTATTTTTACAAAACTAAAATGTTTTTTCACGTTCTGTTTTCCTTATTTAGTTAGTTCTAGTTAACTATAATAACCCTGCTGCGGACTCGTCTTCAGAAAAAGGAGCTTCTGCTGGTGGTCCGAAGCTCTCGTTTAGTGTTTCATCACGTAATCAACAGATTATTTTTTCAGCTCTCTCTCACCCGTTCAGAGTGTAAGACCATGCACGTGTTTTTCAAACTTACTGCTCTGCAATGATGATGTCTGGTTTCCACAAAGACTGAGCTGGAACATTTACTCTGGAAAGGTTACAAAATTCACTTTCATTCCATTTAATATGGTGATTATTCCAACCCTGAACAGAAAGATGAGTTAGAGAGACAAAGAGGGTGTGGTTTTATGTAAAAACTTTCCACAACAAATGAATAAATAATAGCTCTTTTTAAATTTTTCTTATATATAACTCACCGTTTGGGTCCAGATGTGTAGATACACAGTTTGCTCAATCTCACTCTGTTGATAAAAACAATACATTTGAAGGTCTTTCCAGTTGGATGGGCCTGGATGTTCACTTTTAAACCCTCCTGAGTATTTCTGTCTGCTATATCAGTCAATCTTTAACATTTAAAGTAACATTTTACCCACAGTTCGATACAAATACCTATTTTTTGTTGAGGTAAATAAAACCAAGAACTGAATCTGAACAACTTGTGCAGCAGAGGTTGTAAAATGATTTATTGATCATCTATTATTAAACTTGAACATCAATAATTGTGACTCACTTCACTGCTTTTATTAATTAATGTTTTTGGAGCAACGTGTTTACTGCACGTTACATGGATTTAACAAATAAACAACTTACCACATCCAGGACAGCGTAGATCTCCATTTTCAGATGCACTTTAACGGGCTTTTTGTGATGGCTCACAGGACGGCCCATGATGAGCAGATCTTTGTTGTTCAGGTTCAGGGAGTTTAACAAATCTTGTTCAGTGCAGTTAGGTTCTGAAAAATATTAGATTATTTCTAAAAGCAACAATTGTCTGCTCAGGTTTTAAACCTGGTTGATTCTGTCCTCATGATTAGCAGTTTATAGACTTTATTTCCCCATTAGCAAGATGAAAAAAAAGTTAGATTTTTGAAGTCAGTGGATTTCAAATATTAAAGGGATCCCTGATTAGCTGTAACATTAGACTTTATTTGATAAACATATATTTAAACTGTAAAATAAAGACTGTAAAAATACTGTAGGATGTTCAGTTTTTATAATTTTTAGTAAAATATTCTAACACGGACAGAGCCATTTTATTTACATGCAAAGCATTCTGGGTAAATGATGACGTGGATAGGTCCTCGGTGCGAGGCTGCTAGCGAGCTATATCC